GCAGCGTTAGATGCGGAAGAGAAGGCGGCTTTAGAGCAAGCGGAGCAGAAAGGGCGCGAGCTGCTGTGTCAGATCAAGAAGAAGTTCGCTCACTACCAGCACGAGATCAGCGAGCTCCAGGCAGCAGCCACTCGCCTGCAGGCCCTAGCACAGGAGAGGGACTCGCTCACATTCCTGCAGGTGAGCGATGAGTCTCCAGTGTCGCTATTGGCACCGAGCCCTCTCACCAGCAGCAGCAGCAGAGGGAGGCTCCTGAATGAGAGCTCGCATCCACTGGGCTTGAGAACACAGCTCCACTCATGGACTCACATCTCAGCTCCAGTGGCTGCCATTTGGAAGGCCAGCTCATATTTTCTCAGTAAAATGTATTCTCTCTCCCGTCCTTTATTTCCCATCAAGTTTGTTTCATTGTGAATTTAAACTAAATGGTATTGGAATTTCACTTTTTAAATCAACCATACAACAATAATGTGCACGGTATTCATGATTGACATCAGCCATAATCTTTCCACTTATTAATTAAGGCTTCCCCAAGCCATTGCCACATCTCATGATGCCGTCATGCAACAATCCTCCAGCGCCTGCTCACGACCCGATTTAATCTCTGCTTATTTTGTGTACCTCCAATTGGATGCACGACATTCATTGTTCATATCAGATGATGTTCAAATAAATTGGTCTCATACACTTATCAATGATACCATTGTCTCTTGAACATCACTTATACAAGATCTGCGCCATGTGCATTGATAACACTATAAACTTCTAGTCCTACGTTCATCTCAACACAGATCAATATCAATCGGTCTCACTCTGATATATTTGCCCTGCTAATCAGTGTTGGTCCTCATGGGGGTGGCGAGATGTTAACTACCTCCCCTGGTATACCGAAGGTCCGGGATTTGATCCCAACCCTGACGTCCATATACCTTTGGAGTTTACATTTCTCCCTCCATGGTCGCATGGGTTTTTCTGCGGGTTCTCCAGTTTTTCCCTCCACATTTGGAAACGTGCGTTTAGAGTATTGGGCTGCTATAAATGTCCACAAGATGAACCACTTCGTTGAGCTATCATTTGTGGCCAGGTCGCTTCTGAAAAAGAGCTACATAGCTCCGTGGGCCTTACATGGAAAATAAAAATAGTAGTTTATAGTTGACTATCAACCGGTCTCAATCTGAAATATTTAACCCGTAAGTCAGTGTTGGTGATCATAGAGTCATAAGCCAAGATTTTGGGGTTTATATTCCACCCACGGTGTTGCAGTGGGAACTCCACTGATCACAAGGGAATGGAGGTCGAGCCACAGTAACGCATCTCTCTCGCTCTCTCCCACAGTGACACCTGGAGTAGACGCGCAGGTAAAAGACGACTATCACACACGACTCGACACACGACAACATGGGACTGAGTATGGGGTGCGGGCAGTGAGACATTGGCTGTGTGTGGTGATGGTGTGTGTGGTGATGGTTTGTGTGGTTGTGTGCGTGATGATGGTTTGTGTGGTTATGGTGCGTGGTTATGCTATGTGTGATGATGCCGTGTGATGGTGCTGTATGTGATGATGCTATGTGTGGTGATAGTAAAGCTGCGTGTGATAATGCTGTGTGTAATGATGGTGTGTGTGGTGATGCTGTCTGATGATGCTGTGTGTGATGATGCTAAGTGTGGTGATAATAATGCCATGTGGTGATGCTGTAATTGTGTGATGAGTGTCTATGTGATGGAGCTGTGATGATCCTGTGAGTGACGATGCTCTGCGTGAGACAGTAGCCATGTCTGTTCTGCTTTCACAGGACAGGGAGGGTTACAGCAGCTCCACCCTCAGCTCCCAGCCAAGAGGACATTGCCTCGCATAAAGTCCTGGAGACAACTGCAGTCAAACTCCTGCGTGAGTTCTTCAGTGTGAAACATGGATGATGGCGCCATCTTCACAATAAATGATCACCGTGTGTGTGTGCACGAGGTCGACTCAGCCTCAAATGCTTACCTAGTTTTGTGTGGAAACATCACCAATAGGGAGATAAAGGTGGCCAGGCGTAGTGCTGGCCACCAAGCCCCTCATGTGCTGTGTCAGTTTTCAAAGGTGCTGATTTGCCCTGACAGTCTGTTAAGGCAACACGGGGAATATTCTTCTTTGTTTACATTCTGGAACCTGATCCTGTATTTCAACAAAATCGCCACTAGGGAGAAAAAGGTGGTCGGGCGTGGTGCTGGCCACCCACCTCCTCGTGTGCCCTGCTGGTCATCATAGATGATCGCTAACAGCACTTGTGCCAATGGTCTGTTTAGGCTACACAGGGGATCTTAGTCTTTGTTCGGATCCCAATCCAAGACCCTACTGCACAGAGCCAATTAATGCTGTTGAATCAGAGATTGATCAGACCAAACAGTTCTCGTTGAAACCCTCTGCTGCCAGACCACCAAGATTATATGGCCTTCCAAAGATACACGAAGAAGATACACCCCTTTGTCCCATCGTCTTTACTATCAACTCCCCCACATAAAAACTGGCACGTTTTCTGGCTGATATACTGCGACCTTTCACTGGAAAAACCACCTCCGCGGTACTAAATTCTACTCACCTGGTATCGACAATCAAAGGCATTTCCCTGTCCCCAGACGACCTGCTTGTCAGTTTTGATGTGGTGTCCTTGTTCACCAAAGTCCCGGTACCTGACACCATCACTATCATTGAAGACCTGGTTCATCAAGGACTGCATACTGATGTACCCCGCCCTGGTGAGACATTGCTTAACCAACACATACTTCACCTGGAATGGAACTTTCTTCAAACAAACTGAGGGCACCCCAATGGGCTCCCCCTTATCTCCGGTTGTAGCCAACGTATTCATGGAAAAAATTGAAACTGACGCCATCCAGACTGCCAATCTATGCCCGACCTTATGGAAGAGGCACGTGGATGACACCTTTGTCACCTGGCCACATGGCCAGCCTGCTCTCGACCAATTCCGCGACCACATCAATTCCATACACCCAGCCATCAGATTTACCATGGAGGTCGAAAAAGATGGCAAACTACCCTTTTTGGATGTCTTAATTAAAACGAAACATGATGGTTCAATGAGCCACTCTATCTACAGGAAAGCTACCCATACAGATGCTTACTTGAAACCGAATTCCCACCACCATCCATCCCAGAAGAACTCCCTCATAAAGAGTCTATACCATAGAGCCCAATGGATTTCCGACCAGGGACACATTACCAGTGAACTCAAGCACGTACACCAGGCTCTCAGGGCTAATGATTACTCCGACTACACAATCCGCAAAGCCATCATTCCAGTCATGAAGAAGGATCCTTTTGTGGAGCCACTCAAAACCATCACCTTACCCTACATTGCAGGGGTCACTAAAAAGATCTCCAAAATCCTGAATAAACACAAGATCCAAGTCCGATTCAACACAGTACACAAAATCCGTGATCTGGTTCCATCTGTAAAAGATGCTGTTCCAGACATACAGTACCCGGGCGTTTACAAACTAAAGTGCCTCTCTGGTAGTACCTACATTGGACAAACCAAACGACATATCTCGGACCGCATCCGCGAACATAAAGCAGACTTGAAACACGGTAGAACGAAATCCTCTGCCGTGGCAGATCACTGTTATAATTCAGTGGGCTCACATGACATTGACTTCTCCAAGACGAAGGTTCTTTGCAAACCAACCTGCTACCATGAGAGATTCGTTCATGAGGCCATTCACATATACAAGCACAGAGATAATTTCAACCGAGAAGATGGATTCTGGCTTAGTAACCATTGGAAAGATGTTTTAAACCATTTACGTTCTTAATTAATTGTATTTTACGATGACCTTCAGACCGCAGCTCTTTCGCTGGCATTGACTCTTAATACCTCTCACACCACGGTTAATGGTATAGTTTACAACATGGAGTATAACAGCACCTCGCAGCTGTCTCTCTCCCCCTCCTCTGTTCCGACCATGGAAGAACTCGTCCGTCTGAACGGGGCCCGTAGCTATCCGTGGTGCTAAAGTTGAGGGTAAGAATCCACCCACATTTTTCGCCATATAGCATTGTGATATATAACGACTTATTGTTGGTAGCTTAGCTGATTGGAGAATATATAGAGTTTATTGATAACATTGAGGTAATTTATATTTTAGTTTTATATTGGTTCACTATATAATATTCATTATATAGTGTAGTGTATACCCAGTTACTGTGATTAGCTCAGATGTGTAGGCTTTGACTTCAACATAGGCATTTCTGTGACCAGTCACAAGCTAATCACTCAGTTATTTCAATGCTAAATTCTCCTAGTTATTTCAATGCTAAATTCTCCTGTTTGATTTGTACTAGGTGCCTCTGTGAATGTGTATGCTCTGACTTTAAAATAGCCATTTCTGTGACCAGTCACAAGCTAATCACTCAGCTATTTCAATGCTAAATTCTATGCTAATTCCTTTGTCAAGGGGTGCCTCTGTGGATGTGTTTGCTTTAACTTTAACATAGCCATTTCTGTGACCAGTCACAAGCTAATCACTCAGCTATTTCAATGCTAAATTCTATGCTAATTCCTTTGTCAACGCTCTTTGTTTCTTCTCACACAGCTTAAAGGTCGCGATTTGAGCGTGGCTTTGTTCGCTCCAGCGCTGTCCTCCAGACAGTCTCGTCCCTTCACCTGATGAAGGCCACTTGTGTTGTGGCCGAAACGTCGTGAGAATTTGATTGCGTTATTTTATTTTATCAATTTATTATTTTATTCTCATTCTACGTGACTTTACCGAAAGAACCAAAGAAGATGAATCCTTGCAGTCACGAAAGCTTTAAATCGAGATGTAAATGTTGTTCTCATTGATGATTTTGATGGCGAGGATGGTTGGTGATGGTGATGTTTGTGATGTTATTGTTAATGGTGAAGATGATGGTTAGTGATGGTGATGTTGATGGTGGTGATGGTGGATAATGGTGATGATGGTGTTCTCTAGTGATGTTGTCATCGCTGTTGTCACAGACGGACGCTCACCGACTCTGGACACAAACTCAGCTCATAACCGACTCCAGATCTCCTCGGATCTCAGGACGATTACAGCGGTCCATGCCTTCCAGGGTCGCCCCGAACACCCACACCGGTTTGATGGCTGTGCACAAGCCCTGTGCTGTGAGAGCTTCTCGTCGGGCCACCACTACTGGGAGATGGACGTGGGAGACACGCGGATGTGTCGGGTTGGAGTCGCGTATGGGACGATCCCAAGGAAAAGGCGTGGTGCTGCACAGCTGCTGGGAGGGAGCGACGTGTCCTGGTGTTTAGAGAAACGTGAAGACAGCTTCTCAGTGTTTCATGGTGGAGTGGAGACTGCACTGTTGGTGAGTGGGGCCCCCTCCCCACGCAGAATCTGGCTTCACCTGCACTGGGAGGGGGGGCTCCTGGCATTGTACCGCGCCGACACCATGGAGGTGATCCACGAAGTTCGGCAGAGATTCTTGCAGCCTCTCTACCCTGGGATGTCCGTGGGGTATTTGAAATAACCATTGAAGATCGTGGATCTGAGAAGTGCATTCTGAGGATGAGGAGAGATAGAAACTCAAGAAACCAAGACAGAAACCCAATAAACGGAGGTGAGGATGGATATTGAGGAAAGGGTGAAGTGAGGGTGATGGGTAGTTGGAACAGAGGGTGAGGTAAGGTGAGAGTGAGGGCAGAATGGAGGGGAAGGTGACAGGTGAGCGTGGAGGGGTAGGGTGAGGGGGGAGGATGAGGTTCAGGTTGGCGTGCGTGAGCGATGTCGCCGGTGCTGTACAAATCGCAGGTCCGTGTGGCCGCTCCTTCGCCTGCAGTGCGCGCTTGCGTCACCATGCCTCCTCATCCCTGTGATTCACCATCATCACCATCATGACCATCACCAACATCATTACCCCATCATCATCACTGTCACCATCACCCCATCATCATCATCACCACTGTCATTATCACCACCATCAACACCACCACTATCATAATCACCATAGTCATCACTACCATCATCATCGCCATCATCATGATTACCAACAGCACCACCAACATCATCATCACCATCATGATCACCATCACCAACATCATCGTAACTATTATCACCACGATCACCACCATCATTACCATCATCATCACTATCAACGCCACAATAATCATCACCATTGTCACGTCCATCTCCATCATCATAATCATTACTTAACATCACCACTATCATCAACATCATTATGACCATATACTTAGTTCTTTCGGTAAAGTCACGTTGAAGGGAAACAACAAAATAATAAAATATATATAAAACAATAAAAATTCTCAAGACGTTTCGACCATAACACAAACGGTCGTCTTCAGGTGTGTCGGTTTGCATAAATGTATTTATTTTTAAACGGTGTATTTATTTGTTTATTTAAAAAAGTTTGCGCCATGCGCAGCGATTTGGCAGTTTATTTAGATGGACTAGTCCATCCATGTTCTGAAAAGAGGAGGGGGGAGACGAAATTTTTTTTTTAATGTATGCTGTCTGAAAGCCACTGTAAGCGTGAACAATCAATTAAGACCTGAAATGGTTTATCAAATCTTTCCAATGATTGCTAAGCCAGAATCCATCTTCTCGGTTGAAATTGTCTCTGTGCTTGTATATGTGGATAGCCTCATGAACGAATCTCTCATGGTAGCCAGATGGTTTACAAAGAACCTCTGTCTTGGAAAAGTCAATGTCATGTGAGCCTACTGACATTGACTTTTCCAAGTGACAGAGATGGTGGGTGATTGAATGATTGAGTGAGTGCATGGTTGATTTGGTGAGATGGTGGGTGATTGAGTGGGTGAGTAGACGGGGGAGATGCTTGGTGGATGAGTGCATGGGTGAGTGGATCGGTGGAGTGTTTGAGTTCGTGAGAGGGTAAGAGGGTAAGTGAGTGGGTCAATTATTGAGTGCGTGAGTGAGTGAGTAGATGAGTGAGTGAACTATTGAGTGCATGGGTGAGTGATATGGTGGGTGAGTGAGTGGCTGAGTGGGTCAGTGGTTAAGTTAGTGAGCGAGAGGGTAGGTGAGTTTGTAAATGATTGAGTGAGTGAGTTCAAGTGTATCGTCTGTAACCGGGAGTAGAACTCGAGAGTCCAGAGCAGGAGTCTCATTTGCGAGAGTTACCTGGGGCTGGGGGGAATCTCCAAAATGACAAAAACGACAACGTGAGCACAGGGAACAATAACGAAGTGAAGATAAATTAGAGGAAAAAACCAACAACAACAACAACCACCACCGTGTTACAGACGGAACCGGAAACAAAACAGCGCCCCGAACAAACTCCCAATACTGCAAGGGTAGAGACAGCGCCTGTACACCCAACTCACAGTCGTGTCCACGTGTTGGGTGGCCATCTCGTCTAGACAGGGCCACTCGTCGTAGCGTACAACGCGACGTAACGACGACTCACACAGACAACCCCGACAGCCCACACCTCCTGGTCCCCCCCCCCCCCCCCACCATGGTTGCTGCGTTTGTCGTCACAGAAGCGGACCGGTAGCCGCTGCAAGCTGCGCAGGGCATAATGTGTTCAAAGGGGCTTAGCAGCAGGATAATCCGGGTAGCTGCATTCTGCACTAACTGGAGCCTTTGCACCAATCCAAGTGGAAGCTCTGCATAGATAATCCAGGCGTGTTGAGACAAAGGCGTGAACTAATGATTACAGGGCTGGGTAGAAAGCAGAGGGCACAACCCTCGAAGTGTTTGTAGGTGGTAGAGATCTGCTCTGAACGTAGCTATGAGCTGCGAGCGCACGGTCAAGCTCTGATCTAACAGTACACTGAGGTTGCATACTTTGGGCACATGGAGAGGGTGAGCTCTCCTAATCAGTGGATGATCGATGTGGCCCTGCCACGCTCTCAGACGCTGCTCTGAGCCAACTATCATGTACTCTGTCTTGCCCAGGTTGAGCTAGAGCCAGTTTTTCTCCGTTCTAACAGCGACTTCAGATAAGCATTCTGAAATACCTGAGATAGCGGCTTCTGGATCTGACGTACATTGAAAACTAGCTTCATCAGGCGATAGCCTGATGAAGCTAGGTGTGGACTTTGATAAAGAAAATGTTAGACAATCAGTTTTGTCATTTTCCAAATTGTATCATTCAATCCGTGTCCATAATCGTCAGCATCGTCCTTACCACCGAAACATATAGGATCAGTTACACGTTACCTTGATGATACAATACCACGGTAAAAGCAGGAAATGCTTATATGTGGTTAATTTAAGCGAAACAGCTGATTGTGGTGTACATCGAGACATCTGTCACTTCTTACTTACAGTACATCCCCTGCACAAAGGAGACAAACTTAACTCACGATTCATGAATGCACTTAACAATGACGCTGGCACGCGCTCACATACAGCAGGATGGATAAGATAAGGTGGTGTCAAGAGGGAAATACTCCACATATTCAAGGGCCTCTCCATCAAAATAGATAGTTGGGGGATGTTTGGCTGTTCAAATCATGGTTCTTATCTTAATGCCATTTAAAAAGCACCTTTACTAAGGCCCTATACAGCAATTATAAAATTGTATACAGAATAATGAATTAAATTAAGTATTGGGTTATTTTAAAGTGGTGGTGTACTTTTGATGACAGTAAAAAAAAGATGGATGGATAAACAGGGGTTTCTATAGCCCTGGTCGTAGCTGGGGGGTGACAGAAAGCTTGGGTGGCTGAACAAATAATGAGGCATCGTTGTATTGAGAAGACAAAGGGGGATAGGCGATGGGCTGGAGTCAGACGGGAGAAGGGGGCCACCGCAGTCGAGTCCACTGCACTGCCAACGACGGCCACAATGTCTGTGCAGTGCAGCAGCACAGTTCCGGCCGGGCCCACGACGAGGTACAAGGTGCAGCTTCAGCCCAGCTCGCTTGTCATGGATTTGAATCTTCCCTCCATGCCCGGCATGCTGATATGGTGAAGACTCCCCCGGGGGCAGGAGCTCGACCTCCCATCCGGCCACGTGGGATGGCGAGGAATTTGCACGGCGCCGGCGTGGCTCGGCAGGCGACCGCCGGCAGCCGGGCGACCAAGCGGATGCGGAGAGGAAGCCACGCAGCTCTGGTGATGGTGCTGCCCAGCGGGGAACCGCTGGCAGCCAGGCTGCTGTTAGGACGCTCAATGGGGGTGGGAGCAGGCAGGGGACGTGTTCAGGAAACGGCGCCTACAACAACAAAAAAGACATCGCCAACAAAAAACTAAAATAAATGATAGTGGTGGACGGGAAGAAGGGGAAGAGAGAAGGAGCGCGAGGTAGGCGAGGTAAGGTATGGAAGAGGGAAATTAGGGATCGAGCAGATGGCTGCTGCTGCTATCTTGCTCTGAGTTGGTGGAGAACCTTGGTTTTGGTGGTGTTCAAGGGAGAAAAAGGCGGTCGCGTGTGGTGTATGTGTTAGAGCATGGATCAAGCTGTGATATTTTGCATCCCTGTGTGTATGTGTTCACGTATGACAATAGAGCCTGCATGCGGTGTGAGGGGACTAGTGGCCACGGGAGGTAATGACAGGGAAGTGAGCCTACAGTACGAAGGCACTAGTGGCCATGGGAAGTAATGACAGGGGTGTCAGTTGTGAGTGCGAAGCGACTGCTGGCTACGGCAATGATCGAGAAGGGATCGTGGTCAGGTCACGGAAGAAGATGGTAGAGTCTGCCTGTAGAGAGAGCGTTCAGAGTCATCGAGAATGATCGAGAAGGGGGGCGTGGCCTTGGTTGATATATAAGGGAGATGCGCGGGAGACTCGGGGCTGTTGCAATGGGATCTCAGCCTGATGTCAATTGATTGTGTCTTCAAAAAAGTGCCATCTGAAGAGACGTGTGTCAAGTCGTCATTATAACTCGTGTCAGAAGTCGGGTGTCATTATGCCACAGCATAGCAGCAAGGATGATGACGACTTTGGACGGGGAGCAAATCTCCCTGCTGCCCCGGGTGGCGGGAACCCAGGGAACAACCCCACCGGTGAAGAGGGAGTGGCAGTGGTAAGGAGGAGAGAGGGGGCCGGCCGACAGGAACAAATAATCGAGGAATGAGACGAGGTAATGGGACGGCTGGACCAGCTGTTAGCAGGGGTCTTGCAGCTCACCGTGGAGCTTTCCGCAGCTGCGCAGAGAAGAAAAGAGCGAATGACCGGCT